AGGAGGGTTGTACCACAGGATGTTATTACGTTGTCGGTTTCTCCGTTTGCGTGTGTTGACTGGTTCGTACTGTAGTGTGTAGTGGTATCCACTTTCGTCTAGTGCTTTCTGGTATGGAGGGGCGGCTTGGTCAAAGGATGCTTTGTCGGATGATAGGGACGACAGTCGTTTGTTGATGCCGGCGGGAATGTTCTTAGTGGTGATTGGCGGGTGGTTGCTCTCGCGGTGGACGTATTGCAGTGAAGTGTTAGATATAAAAACTGTTTAATACGGCGAATTAAAACAAGGTGTTAGCTGATATTACTGTTTGTAAGGGGTATATGTTCCGTCCAAGTCGTATTCTTATTGATTGTAACCTGGAGCCATAATCGGGGACGGAGACCGTAAACGTGCGCCATTTCTAGTATTGGGGCTGTCCCTTTGATATGGGACAATTTTTTTCTATTTTTAGAGCAAATTGCGCCATCGTGTGCGGCACACGCGATTACATGTTGTGAGGATTTTTGCGGTTGTAGCGCGGGGAAATGGCGTCCGAAATTCCCGATATGTTTGGACTCAATACGCTTATGTCTGTAGGAATTTTGCTTCAATATTTTCGTCGGAAGCTGCCCCAGTTTGAGTGAAGTAAGACAGTGTCGAATATAGTTATGTCCCGCTTTATATCACTGAGCAAGTTGTGTTCCGCTGCTTCTTTTACAAGAGCTCCACATTAATCCACTCTAAGATTCACATATGTTAAAGGTTAACAGCTTTTCAATAACACAGCAAAAAACCTGCTGGATATATTTGGATATAGCAGTGTTTCTTACCACACGCTTGCGAGGATTTCGCCGGAGTCTATCGCGACCGAAAAGTGAAAAAAATAATAATAGTAATTGGAAGTTTGAGTTTCCCCTGAATTGTAAGCAACGCTTGATGTTTCCTCAAGGACCAATACGTTTATGTCTGTAGATGCTGCTCAGTTTTGTTTGTGTAAAAATCCAATAAATTGTCTGTTGTCGATGAATAAGAGCGCATCCGGATGCGTGTTTTGTACAGTCAGTAAAACATGACAAATTGGACTTCCGCACTTTCGTGTAAAAACGTACAGCGATCTCATATTATATCTCTAGTTTTTACATATGTTTAAGTTAAGTTTGATAAATGTTTGAGCCCTCCTGGTGGAAAAACGCATAATTCTTGGCACTGGTCTATTATTTCAGACTTTTGTAACACTAGTATGGTCATTTAGAAAATGTGTGTAAATTTAAGGAATAGTGAGAATGGACAAGAAATGCATGCTCATTTAACCATGAAAAGAGAGGAGATTTAATGTTCAGTAATGAATGTCATCTATTTCTCGTGATAATATTGCACATTTTCTCCAAGAGAGACCTTAGGCACTTTGTAGTAAGCTACCAAAAGACAAGAAAGTGGAGTAAGACCGCCAATTGCGAGACTTCAGAAATTACTCAAAACTTTGACAAATTTCTCTGACTCACATATTGAGTTGGGTCGACATTTTTCTGTAGGTGTATTTAGAACACCGTCTGTTGACAACTAAAATATAAGAACGTCCAGTTCTAAGCTAGCTTCCGAGTGTTTTTATAGTAACGTGCAGAATTAAATACTTGCAGTATTGGGCAATTTCAATTTCGAATCTAGATCACTTGAACCGCAATTCCCAGTTGTCTTGTGTCAGACCGCCGCAATTATCTAGCCATGTTTGTGGGAGGCCCATTGTTTTGCTGGACATATCTGCTGGAGAGTATACTGTGATGGACAAAAATCAACTCCAGAGGGAATAGCAATGCTTTCAGTTGCTGAATGCTACGGAAACTGTGATTAGTACTGGCAATGTGGACCAGTTTGGTCCAAGTGCGACTATAGCTTTTGTTTTAGGTTTTATGCCGGATGTTTCATGATTAGTTTGTTCCATTCTATCGAATTCTCTTTGAACCGTTTTTTAGAATGCACGCCGAGACATAATCTGCTTTCCATAGATTTACCGACATTAAGTCATTCAGTTTTATCGTCCATT